CACCTGTGAGGCCAGACAATATGCAATGGTCTTTGTTGATCATCAGCTCCAGCCAAAATGTTACACGGAGTTTGTTTATGTTCCCCATGATGAGTGCTTGAATTATCTGATGAGCTGAATGTTTTCAAGTATGACTCCTGCCTTACTGAGCCACCCAGGTTTTCTTGTTGTGCAGCATCACAGGATCCAGACTCTGAATCAAAATTCTTCAATAAATTCTCAGAACCTCTCTGCTCCTGTTGGAAAGGAAGGGCCATGGATGGAGCAACACCGCCATTTCCTTTAAGGCTGAGTATCTTCTGTAAATGCACTGCTTTGTGCTTGGGCATGAATCTGTTACAAAAAGAAAATGCAGTATACGTTTAGTGAAAACACTATTTAAAATTTGCTCTTTACCTTTCTGTAAGCACATGATGATGATGTATAAAAACTGAGAAAAAAAAAAACTAAAGATATAACAAAAATTCTAGGAAGAGCACAAAAAGCAGTAGTCACCAAGAGAAAGTTCAAAAGTTTGAAATTAGACCAGATTGTCTTTGGTTTCCAAAGAGTTTCTGTGGCTATAAAAATCTGCACTGCACATACCGTAAAAAATCAGGGTAGAGCGATGGTTTAGCATTCTTTCTTTACTTGTCTTTCTGGAGTTCTATGTTTTCCAGTCATGACATGGCCCAGTGCTTATTTTCAAAACATACTTTTTTTGCTCATTAACCTACAAAAATGCTTGAAACTTCCTGAATTAACACTGGGTATTTCTGCTCACGTGACTGTTCTGTATTCCTGGGCACTTGTACACATTTTTATTAAGTTGACTTTGCTAATATATATTTTTTAAAAATAAATTTATTTATTTATTTATTTTTAATTTTGGCTGTGTTGGGTCTTTGCTGCTGTGCATGGGCTTTCTCTAGTTGCAGCGAGAGGGGCTACTCTTCGTTGCAGTGTGCTGGCTTCTCACTGTCGTGGCTTGTTGCGGAGCACAGGCTCTAGGCACACGGGCTTCAGTAGTTGTGGCACATGGGCTCAGCAGTTGTGGCTTGTGGGCTCTAGAGTGCAGGCTCAGTAGTTGTGGCACACGGGCTTAGTTGCTCCGCGGCATGTGGGATCTTCCCGGGCCAGGGCTTGAACCCATGTCCCTTGCATTGGTAGGCAGATTCTTAACCACTGTGCCACCAGGGAAGCCCAACTATTAGGTCAGCAGCTAATCCAAAACCACATCTGTTGGACTTCATCTTCTTATTGGCTCCCAAATGGTCTAAGGTTTTATAAGGATCACATATCTTGGTCCCTTGCTAATATTTCTTGAAGTATCTTTTTATATTTTTTTCATTACCATCTCACCCCTTTCTTCCCAGAATGCTTTGTCATAGAGTTCGATATCTGCTACTTATCTATAGAAGCAAACACATAAAATGCAACCGAGGAATTCACCAAGTACTAGGGAGCAAACCAGTAGACAGAGTGGGAGACAGACTTGAGAACAACAAAGGAACCTGTGGCAGAACACAGTATATCAAGAATGGACATTCTAACTTTTAAAACTGAGAACTAGAGATTAATTCTGACTTGGGGATAAGTAAAGGTTAAATGAGGGTTTTAGTTGACTGATTCTGAAAGGCAGAGAGGGGGAAGTTTTGAACGGAGGGAACAGTGTGATCAAAGGAAAAGGGTGTGAAAGAGCATGAACTCTTCAGGGAATAAGATGCAAGCCAAAGAGTCTGAGTCCCGGGATCTGAGGTCTAGAGAGGCAGTCTGGGGCTGGACAACAGGGGTGTTCTCAGAGGCCCTGAGGCCCATGCAGAGAATCGGCCCCTTACCTGGATTGTGGAGTATGTGAAGAAATGGAGAGTACGTGCATTTGTGAGGTAGGTGAGGAAGAAGAACCACAGAACCAAGGAAAGCAACGAGGAACATTTGGAAGAGCTGAAAGGGAATCTGAGAGTAATATCACACTATTGAGGTAAATTAAGAGCTCCTAAAGCACGGGTAGGAAAAAGAACCAAGAGCTCTTAAAACTGTTTAAAAAAAAAAAAAAGGGGTGTGAAACACTGCAGAGGTGTTACAGCAGCAGAAACAACAGGGCGATTTTGGCCTCGTTATACCGTAGATCACTGGCTACTGCCAGGGCGGTTCGTGTGGGGTGAGGGCAGAGAGAAACCAGACACTGGTTAGGGAGAGAGGGAGACACAGAGAAGAGAGGGGAAGGCAAGGTCAAGTTTTCTTTAATGGGGTGTGTGTCCACAGGGGTGCTCGCTTGGGGATACTTGCTAGGGAAGGGAGCAGGATCCTGAGGAAACAGAGAAGTCTTAGAAAATGGAAGTAGAGGGGCTTCCCTGGTGGCGCAGTGGTTGAGAGTCCGCCTGTCCCCCGATGCGGGGGACACGGGTTCGTGCCCCGGTCCGCGAAGATCCCACATGCTGCGGAGCTCCGGCTGGGCCCGTGAGCCATGGCCGCTGAGCCTGTGCGTCCGGAGCCTGTGCTCCGCAACGGGAGAGGCCACAACAGTGAGAGGCCCGCGTACCGCAAAAAAAAACAAAAAAAAAAAAAAAAAAAAAGAAAAAAACCATTGCCCGGGGCTCGGGTTCCATCCCTGGTTGGGGAACTAAGATCCTGCAAGCTGCACGGCAAGGCCGAAAAAAAAAAAAAAAAGAAAAAAGAAAAAAGAAAAAAAATGGAAGTAGAAAAACATCATAAGGTGTGATAATGGCAGGATGCTTGCTGCGGGGGAAGTAGGGCCTTATTCAAGAGAACACACACCGAGCTCCCTTACAAAGCTGAGAGGGAAGAAGAAGAGACAGACGTAATTGAAAAGAACCGTTTCAGGTGGCAGGTGCGGAATCCAGTGCGTCCCCAAAGCCTTGGACGAGGCCATCTATTTCAAGCGAGGTGAGGAGAGATGGTGCTCAAGAAGTGACCTGAGTCAGAAGGTCGCCGTGGAGAGGGGGATGGGCGATCGCTAGTTCCGAACCAACGGGCAGGTGAACAAGGCTAAGCAACAGTGCGGGTTCTGCTGCGAACTGGAGATCCAGTCTGGCTGTAGTATGCTATGTACATTCTAGAAGCAAAGGGCTTGATGTGGGGGGCTCTGTGCTTGTTTCGTGAGGCCTTTTGAGAAAAATGACCTGAATATATAAGCCACCTCCCCCCACACCCGTGCCCTGTCATAAGTGGATGAAGTAGATATTGCATATGGACAACAGATAAAACACAAAGAATGGGGCTAACCTCCATGGCATGCCCTTATAAAGTAATACATTAATTCTTGATTTAAAATGGAAAAAGAAGGGAAAAGGATCTGAAAAAGAATATATAGATATGAAATACTAAAAAAAACTGAGTCACTTTGCTGTACACCTGAAACTAACACAGCATTGTAAATCCATTATACTTCAATTTAAAAAACAAACATTGAACTTAATATCTCTCTTTAGATTATTAGGTTAAGGAAATTTATTGAATTATAATGAATACTGTACTAAAAGTTTTTCTTCTCATCTACAGACCTTTAAAAACTCAGTGGTCACAACCTCAGTTTTATTAGAACTGCTCTAATAAAAAATTAGAGAGTTTATTTTTAAAAAGATGGAAAGAAACTTGGGCATACACAGATTAAAGTTTCAGATCTCACAGGTCCAAAATCATGAAGGGAGGTAACCAACTTTCTTCCTGAAATAAATTCAAAATACTGAGGAGATTCTAAGGAACTAAAAATCAATAGGAAAGTTCCCATCGATCACCACTAAAAGAAAAAACATGACTGTGACAATATCCTCAACTTCTCCTAAACAAATGGAACAAATGGTAAGAGAAGGAACATCATATGTGGAGAACAACAATAACGCAAGCGAAGTAACCTATTTGTTTATGTCAGATAAAGAACGCCAGGCAAGCTTAAAAAGGATTTTAACAGAATTACAAACTTGTTGCACGAAGGATTCACACACACACACACAATCAATGGGCATTGAAACAACATATCTTCATTTTAGAAAACAGTATCATGACCCATCTTGCTCATAAAATCCCTTTATATTGGCCAGCATGTGAGCAAAATTGCAAATTAAAAGAGACGGGAGATTGGCTAAAGGTTTGTAAGCAACGGGAACTGGTCACTGACAAGGAATCTAGCTGTGGACAAGGTGCTAGGCCTGCTTTTTTGCAATACATTTCCTAAATGTTCTCAAGGATGAACAGAATCCCACCTTAACCCAGGTTGCGGATGACTGACTAGATAGGTGGTGGTGAATAAGGACATGGGCAGATGCAGAATATCAATAAGGACAGAAACCCAAAACTCAGCTTATTAATATTATGAAATTGACAAAATAGAATAAACCTGAAAGCAGTAGGACACGTGGAAAAGACTATGTAGATTTCCTGGAGTTTGACAAGATGAGTCTGGGCTGATTAGACCAGCAAACTAACTGCTTGGTTATGGAACGTGATGTACAGGAAAGGGAGAGACCAAGTCTGTGGGAGCAGAATACTGTGCAAATGCTGATTTCATCTGAGGCACCTGATAACTATATATGTTTGAAAATTAGAAAGTTCTAAGAAGAGCAATAATAATGATTAAGGCAATGGAAGAATTGATTTATGAGGACAGATTAAAGGAGCTAAATATGAATAGCCTGGTTAAGTGACAACTAGAGGGGTACATAATAGAAGTCTCCAAGGAAAGAGAATAATTATTTAGCCGGATACAAGGGGGTATAACTAGGAGTAATGAGATGAAATTAAGAATGGGAAAATTTAAGCTGAGTTTCCAGAAAAACTCCCTGACGGTGTAATTTATTAGCTCACGGAATAAATTCCCTATGGAAATGCTATAGCTGGGGAAACTTAATAATAGAACTGGACAAAATACCAATAAATAATATAGATGATAATCCAGTACTTGAAAGAAGGTGGTTACGTGCTATGCTTTCCTTGTTTACAATATCTTCTCATATTTTTCTCTAATAATCTTTTATATAGAGTGATTGTTACCCAAAGAAGTATTTAGGCAATTAGCTAAATCTAAAAGGAAATACGTCCTTTAGGTGAGGGAAGCTAAAATTACTTCAGTTTTCATATATTCTGCAGTAATAATGTTTTACTACTTTGTTTCAGCAGAGCTGATCTTGAAGCAAGCTGGACAAATGTATTACTATTTCTAAAAAACAAAACAAAACAAAACGATCCTCAACTACCATCCCACACAGTCTACTCTGATTCTCTGTGTGTTACATGAAACCCATATTTTCATAGACATGTTTTATATAAACAATTTATTGCCATAATAGAAATCAAAAAACTTTATTCCAGCTTTTCTAAATGTAGCTCTATGGTCG